ACTCTCTCCAAACTCAAATTGGCTAGTTCCTATCCCCCTTGAGTTTGCGGGGGCTGGTTAAACCTATCACCTACTTCACCCACTTAAACCTACTCCACTAAACCTAACCCACTACACCACTACCACCTCACCTACTCCACTAAACACTCAACTTTACCTACCACACTAAACACCTACTTCACCACTTTAAACCTACTCCATTAAACCTAACCCACTACACCACTACCACCTCCACTTCACCTACTCCACTAAACCTAACCCACTACACCACTACCACCTCCACTTCACCTACTCCTTACCTACTACACACTCACCCTCTTCTATATATAGGAATCATGAATCATTGTAATTAACATTAACATATAAATCAATAATACAATCATTTCTCTTTATACATTAAATTTCTACAAATTGCCATGTTAATAAGTTTCTGGATTACCTCAGAACTTGTGGGGGGAAGCAATACTTTCGCTAATTATATTTTAAATAAAGTACCCCGAAAAAAAATAAATCAAACACCTTATGAATTGTGGCATGGAAGAGTACACATCTACAAATACTTAAAAGTGTGGGGTGTGTTTGGCAAAGTGGCTATTCCTAGTCCTAAAAAGACTAAGATAGGTCCTAAGACCATTGATTGCATTCATTGGTTATGCTAAGAATAGTATGTGCATATCGGTTTTTGATTCATAAATCAGAACATACCGAAATACATGTAAATACTATTATTGAGATCTCGGAATGCATCTTTCTTGACATATATTTCCGAATAAGATGGACAAGAGACTAGTAATAATAGAAAAGCTTTGATGCTATTACTAGTAATGATCAAGAACATGATCAAGAACAAGAGTTAGATCAAAATGAAGGGAGAGAACCTAGGCGTAGTAAACGTGCTAGAACCTCAAAATCTTTTGGTCCAGATTTTCTAACATATATGGTAGAAAATGAGCCTTTAACTTTTATAAGAGGCTATGTCCAGTCCTGAAGCTCCTTTATGAGAGAAGCTGTCAACAGTGAAGTTGAATCCATATTGACAAAATCACACTTGGGAACTAGTGGACTTACCACCAGGTTGTAAACCTCTTGGATATAAGTGGATTTTCAAAAGGAAAATGAAACGGGATGGATCAATTGACAAATACAAGGCAAGACTTGTAGTCAAAGGATTTAGACAAAAAGAAGGTCTTGATTACTTTGACACGTACTCACCGGTTACTAGAATAACATCCATTAGAACGCTAATTGCCATTGCATCTCTATACAATCTAGAAATTCACAAATGGATGTTAAAACCGCTTTCTTAAATGGTGAGTTAAATGAAGAAATTTACATGGAACAACCAGAAGGGTTTTCTGTTCCAGGAAAAGAAAAGAAAGTGTGTTAATTTGTTAAATCATTATATGGTTTAAAACAAGCGCCAAAGCAATGGCATGAGAAATTTGACAAGGCAAATGATGTCAATGGATTTAAAATTAATGAGTGTGACAAATGTGTTTATATTAAAAACACAGATAAAGGTTATGCCATTGTATTCTTTATGTAGATGATATGCTCATCATAGGTAGTAATAATGATATGAATTAAAACTACCAAGAAAATGTTGATTAAACATTTTGACATGAAGGACATGGGCATTGCTGATGTAATTCTTTGGTAATGAAAATACCAAAACATCAGAAGAATATACTTGTCACAATCTCATTACATTGAGAAAATACTTGACAAATTCAGCAAAGATGATGATCATCTTGCTAGAACACCTGTTGATGTTAATTTGTATCTTTCTAAGAATGTACAGGAAGTATTTCTCAATTAGAGTATGCCCAAATTATTGGAAGCTTAATGTACTTGATGAACTGCACTCGCCCAGATATAGCTTATTGCAGTAAGTAATTAAGCAGATATACAAGTAATCCCGGAGAGTAGAACACTGGAAAGCAATTATAAGGGTTCTAAGATATCTCCGATTTACTCGTAACATTGGGCTTAACTATACAAGAATATCCAGCAGTACTTGAAGGATACTGTGATGACAAATTAGATATCGGATACTAAAGACTCGAAAGTCCACCAGTGGGTATGTCTTTACTCTTGGTGGGGCGGCTGTATCTTGGAAATCGTCCAAACAGACTTGTATTGCTAGGTTCTACTATGGAATCTGAATTCATAGCTTTAGACAAAACAGGGGAAGAGACAGAATGGCTTCGCCACTTCCTTGAAGATATTCAATATGGCCAAAACCGGTGCCTGCTATATGCATACATTGCGATAGTCAATCAGCTATAGGTAGAGCACAGAGTCATATGTATAACGGTAGTCACGACACATTCGTCGTCGACATAACACCGTAAGACAACTACTCTCTAATGAATTATTTCCATAGAATATGTTAAGTCTAAAGGACAACATAGCGGATCCACTAACCAAAGGGTTAGCAAAGAGATTGGTGAGAATTCATCGGAGGGGAATGGGACTAAAGGCCTATTAAATAAGAGTTACCACAACGCAACCAACCTAGTTGACTGGAATCCCAAGATCTAGGTTCAAAGGGAACAACCGAGTTGTGAATGACTCAGAAGGATCACTGTGGAGTCCAACTCCTACCCATTTCTTTGATGAAATAAGTGATGTCCTGCAGCGATTTAGGTTAAGTAATACTTTTAATGATTTTTTTTATCTAGGTAAACCTAGTGGAGTATGGCAGGATACTCTTCATAAGACATCACCTATGTGAGTGTGAACTGGGTCGGTTCTATAAGATTGTGAAGGGCTACAAGTCTTTAAAGCACTCATGAAGACCAGATTGTTCAGGGCCAAAAAGAACACAATAGTGAGAACTAAACTGTGTCTGGAGATATACTGTGTGAGTTCTATTGTCTTAGTTTACACAAACGGCTGAACAGTTCAGACATCATGTTCACTGGTTAGCTAGTAAATCCGATAGTTTCTCACAAGGGAAGGTTCAAAGCCAAAGCTACCTATCCTTTGCAGAATATTTTCAATTTTTGTACTCTCTGATTAGATCATGTTGTTGCATTTTCTCTCCGTCAACTTCCATTCATGTGGGGGATTGTTGGAAATGGTTTTATATAGGCATATTTTTTAGCCCAATTTATGTGGGCCCCAAACGTCTTTTTGGGGTGGGTCCGAAGAGGTGACGTGTTCCTTACTGCGTGCAAAGTCCACACGGGAAGACGGAAACGTTAAAACCATTTATAAGTGAATGGGAAGATGACGTCGTTTTTCTTTTGGGTTTAACATTAATTTTTTAGATAAAATTCATTGAATTTTTTCAATAAAAAATTATTGTGGGAATTTAATTTAATTCTAAATTCAAATTTTGGATTCCTAAGTGGTTTCCTAAAGTTTGTAATTGTGGGAATTTAATTTAATTCTAAAGTTAAATTTTAAGTTCCTTAAATATTTCCTAAAATTTGTACCTCTTTCTTTATTTATTAAACTATTTAAATAGTTTAATATATATATATTTAATATATATATATATATATATATATTTATTCTAAATAGTGTTTAAATAATAAAGATGCATGCGGTTGCTTTCTTGGACCAACGGACAACTTTTTCAAAAAAGTTTGAACATTAGTGTTGTTTGGCAAACGGTTTAACAGGTTGCACCTGTTGGACATTTGTCTATTTATATAAAGCCTTATTTCAGCATTCGGAACCCCGGGTTTTTCTTTGGAGTATTTTTGTGATCCGAATTTTCCATCCGAGATAGGAAAAATTCAGTCTGAAATTTTGTTCCTTCACTGTCCATTTTTTTTCAGTGCATTATTCCTCATATTTAATTTTAGGAATAAATTTTCAGAGAGTTAGAACATAGGTTTGGTTCGCCGAACAAATTTATTTGAAGTGCTTCTATAAATTTGTGAAGATCATTGTATCCTGGGAGATAGACGCCATTCAACCGTAAGCACCGTAGCGGGGCGAATCTGTCTTAAGGACAGAGTGTCACACACTCGACTTGGTCTTAATTTTATTTAGGTTCAATAAATAAATCTGGTATGTTATTTATTTGTTTTGTTTGAATTTATTTCAGTTTATTTTATTTACACAGAAGATTGTTCCAACAGTTGAGTGATCTGGGGATGGGCTAGACAAACTCTGTGCAGCTATATTGTGATAATAAGGCTGCCATCAACATAACTCACAATCCTGTTCAACATGACAAAATAAAACATGTTGAGGTTGATCGTCACTTCATTAAGGAGAAACTCACCAACGGCATATGTACTCCCTTTGTGAAGTCAGGCGAACAACTTGCCGACATACTCACCAATGGAGTTGGGAGTAAACTATTTCATGACATTCTAGGCAAGCTAGGCATGCGAGATATCTTCACACTAGCTTGAGGGAGAGTGTTAGAATATTTCCTTGTTTCTTTATTTAGATTAGATTGTGATTGATAGATTGATTGTGATTTCTTAATCAGTCAATCAATCAATCAATATAAAAGGTGATTCCTTAATCAGTGCCTTAGGGTTTCCTTTTGTAACAGTTGATTGATTAATATAAAAGGCGATGATATCATAACCATCACCCAAGCTTTGTATTCTCTTAAATTATAATTATCACTACTAAAGAAAGGGGATTGTGATTTCTTAATCAGTCAATCAATCAATCAATATAAAAGGTGATTCCTTAATCAGTGCCTTAGGGTTTCCTTTTGTAACAGTTGATTGATTAATATAAAAGGCGATGATATCATAACCATCACCCAAGCTTTGTATTCTCTTAAATTATAATTATTAAGGAACTTAATGAAGTAATTTTTAAAGCACTTGATGAAAGTTGAAACTAAACTATTTAAGGATTGCTTTCAGTAATTCAAGATGTCAGCCCAAAAATAAATAAACAAAAAATAAATACAACAAAACTATTAATGCAGATTGTCAATTAAAGTTTCAATCTCAGAATTGAAAGGCAAAAAGAGAAGCAATAGTTCACCACCAATCATCTAACACATCAAAAACTACCTTATCACGAGGTTGAGACTTCAGCCAGCTACCTATATACCGATCTGTACTTCCTTGTGTTTCTTTCTTCATTGGAATTGGATACTTGGAGGGAAAAAAGGAGGAAAAATTTAATTCAATGCTGACAATGCAATAATGATGAGTAGCAATACAAAAATGATGCATATGAAAAGGAATGGTAAAAACAAAATTGAACAAGTTGTTCAAAAATATATACTAGACTTTCTTCATTCTTTATGACACACATACATACAACTCAAAAGCAATTTTCTTATAAACCACACAACATTTGAAAAGTTAGTGAGCCTTACAACTATTGCAGTTGCACCATGTACTGGTAACAACTTGTTGAAGATATGGGGTCCCTCTAATTTGCAAGGTTTTGAATCCCAAAAGACATTGAAAAATCAAAACTAAAGAGAATTTTAATTTTTCAGTACAACTAAAAAAGAAAAAGAAAGATAGCCTTAATTCCAACTACTTGCAACTTCATTTTGCAGCACAAAAAGCCACAATGTCCAAATATTTGATAAATCAAGTAACAAAACTTGATAGAAATCCTCAAGCAATTGGAATAGGAGACTTTAAATAGAATCCAATGAATTATCCAAGAGTAACATAAAGATATTGGGAAAATAAAAGCAGGAATTATTTTCTAAATTGGGCACCTGATGAGTAATATGAGAACATTAATCGCAGTATTTAAAGATGGACAAAGGCAGTTGATGAGGTAAAATAAAAGTAAATATAGGGAAGTTTTGTTGACTAACACATGGTGTGCATCAATCACTACATTTACATGTACACAACTGTCTGCCCCTTAATAAAGAGTGCTGGATATATGATATAAACTATCTGTTGACATATCAGCATAACTCCAAATATTTTCAATAGCCCTCTTTTCTCATAATATTTGTGGCAAGAGATCTTTAAATTAGAAGTATTTCCTAATATGCTACAAAAGATGCTACCCAGACCACAGAGAGAGTTCAATGAGCACCAAACATCTCATGGATATTCTTATATTATCTAAGTAAGATTTAGAAAGCATTGTCCACCTCCATCAGACTGGTACACTTAGATCACAGGTGACAATTGATGCAACATTCTCAAGTTATATCCACAACAAAACACGGATGTACAGTAATTGGGACATATTCCTGGGAACTCTCCATGTGCTCAGCTGGCAGCAAAGGAATTGCTCTTGAGTCACCAGAGCACAATTATACCCTTTGTCACAATTGAGTTCTTCTTTAAACATGAGATTAAATGGAACATAAAAATAAACACAAATCACATAATGTAGGTGCCTGAATGTGGTTACATTCATGCCTATATAGGTCTAAGGTATTTTTAATTTTGATGTTCTCATGTTCTTGAGCCTATTCCTGATATTGCTCTCTGCTACTTAGTTTCACAATTCAGCAGCCATCTTGCAATATTACAATTTTCTGACTCTCAAGTAGGAAAATCTGACTCTGATTTTGAAATGTTGTCTCTTGGATATTCTCGTAGATTGTTGTTCAGACAAAAATTTACTAGGCTTCTGATTCAATGCTTGACGAATTGGTTGATCCAATATTTCCATAATGCTGTTTTCCAGCTAATAATTGAGTCAGATCCCTTACACAATGTTGGGAGACTTCAAGTGGGGAACTTGCTTGCTGAAAGTTTTTAGTTAAAATATGAGCTGCCACTATTCTGCATCTTGAACTAAATCCCCTTAAAAGCATGCGTGTAGCGTGTGCAGATTATGTTCCTATTATAAACAAATGTGTTTAACTTTCTTACTAAAAAGGAAGTATTTGGAAAAAAGAGAATACCATTAATGAGGAGAAGATAATCTAAATTTGATTCTCGCAATAATCCAGAAATTATGTGATGGACTGATACACTACTCTATATATATACTTCTAAAGTATCATGTACATCAAGCTAGAACAACTCCTAATATATGAACTATGGACATGGATATGCTATATGGGTAGATCACAATACCAATATGTTGATCTAACAAATTCTTAAAACATAGGACAAATTTTGTTAAGGATACGATAATATGCATGTATATATACCATGTATGTATCAATATAGATAGAAAGGTCATTTTGTCATAATAACAAACTATTTGTCTTTAGTTATCTATCAGATATTCTCAATTTCAAATTTACAACATAATCTCATAAAAAACATTAAGGTTATGTTATGCAGACACGAATTTGGACCAAATCTATCATGTCTTAATCCCACTATTTCCCAATTTTAATTCTCCAAGAAGTATGCAATGTATTGAAAAGTATACTTGCATTTATTCTAGCTATTATACTCTAATGCCACACATGAAATGCCACATTTTTAGTGTCAAGTTAGGTCCGACAATTAGAGTATTCGGAAAGTATCCGATACTTATTCAAAATTAAAGAAAATTAATTTATAATCGTGGATAGTTGAAACACTATGTCGAGAAATATAGGTACTTGAAACACTGAAATAGGTACAAAATTTATGGGCTTCCTGGTTTAAAAAGATAGAAATATAGGTACTTGAAACACTGAAATAGGTACAAAATTTATGGGCTTCCTGGTTTAAAAAGATAATATCTGCACAAAGAGCCTTGAGTTTTTATCAATCTGCTAATGTTATTAAAACAAGCGGAGACACACATATACCAAAACATTACACGAACTTTTTTTTTTTTTTTTTTTGGAATCCTTGCTGAAGGGAAAAAAAAGAAGAAGTGCTAGGGGTGCTAGAGTTGCACAAAAAAGCTTACAGCCTCTGAAGTGTCCAAAGCGTTAATTCCATTCTCAAATGCATAACTAAGCATTTCATGAGCCTCTTTCTCTGTATTCTGTTCCCCAAATGTCATCTGAAATAATCATCATAAAAACCATTATCACCTAACCTTGATTGCTTCAATTCTAGTTAACTTCGAGTGAACACCATTGGCGTTAGTAAATTATCATAAAAAGGTCATACCCAATGCACAAGGCAGCTTACAGCAGGGTCTGGGAGTAGTAGTTTCGTAGTTTTCCCCGTATTTTATTTATTTAATTTTTGTTGGAGAGGTTGATTCTTGTGACTTGAAGCCACACCATGGCACCAAGAGCAGACAGCACTTGCTACTTGGCACCACTCCAAGTCACAACCTCTTAACAGTACATTAGCATAAGTAGATAAAAAATAAATAAATAAATAAATAAACCCCTAAGCAATGCTTCATTCCTAAAGTCAGAATAATTCTCACACCATGAATTTCATGAAATATAAATTTCCCATTTTGAATGTATGCAAGCTGGAAACATGTAGAGATCATTAGCCAAATGAACAAGCACAACTAGGAGGAAAAATAACAAATAAAAAATGATTAAATAAAAGTAATTTGTGTGACATCAACAAATGAAATTTGTAATGTTTATTGTTTCATTAAGGTTGTGTTTGGTTCATAGATTTGGGTAGGGATTTGAAAAAGAAAAAAGAAAAGGTAGGTGAAATGTGAATGAAATATAGCTACATTTTATCTACATTTCGCACATTTTTTCCCTTTCTCTTTCCAAATCCATACTTCAACCAGAGCATAAAGGATCAATGATACCCAATTCTTTCCAAAATGGTTCAAACCCTCTTAGCCATGTCTTGCTTTTGAGTGATAAAATCCCCTAGATATGTTCTATTGTCCTAGTGCCTGCTCAAATTTCCATTTCAACAAATGCGAATCATCCATACAAACATGAGGTCTATGACGGACGAACACCTTTTCAAAGGTCGTGTATAGGTGTCTGACACGCGCTGGACACGCTCCAGACACTTGTCAGACACGCTGGAAAGAGTCGGACACACTGGGACACTTGGGACACGTTGCAAACACATTGAAGACACGTTAAGGACATGTTGAGGGCTATTTTTTTCTTTTTCTTTTTTTGTTTTAAATTTGTTTTTTTACTAAAATAGCATATCTAAGGTTGATAAATTTGATAAAATTAAATATGACATAAAATACATATTAAATATTTTAAAATATAACATATAATAAATATATAAAATTATATGTTTTGCACGTGTCCCCAACGTGTCGTGTCCTGCATTTTTGAAAGTTTGCTAGTTCGCTTGTCCGTGTCGTGTCACGTGTCAATGTCCATACTTCTTAGCATGAGGTCTACTTCCTTTTCAACGTGTTTGTCCTTGTACACTAGAGATTGTTTTTTCACAATAATTTACACAAGAAATGCCACCTTGGAACCTGAAAGTTCTATCCATTTTCTTTCACTAACCAAGTTAAAGGTATTGTTTTGATCATTATAATATCAACTCATAGTAATTCAGGCTATTGCTAAAATAGTGTTAGAAAGCTTGAGCAACATTGTTGGGCCTATTTTCTAGAAGCGCAAGCATTTGCAACAATTGTTGGTTTAATATGGTACTAGAACTCTAGTCTAAGAGCTACTACGTTTAAGTCTCATAATACGTGTTTATGTTCCATTATATTTTTGTTATGCACACTGTTCAGTTCAGTTTGTGTGTTCAGCTTGTTAACCTCACCACACACGAGATAGGATTGCTTATGAAGCTAAGTATTGGATTGAATGTTCTAAAACAGTTGGTGATCTATCAAACATATGCTGCTACTATATTGTCACAAATTTCTCCATTCCCTGTTATATAGTCCAATGTGAGTGAAGAATAACACCCACATGGCTAGTACAATGCACACATCTCTTTCAATACTAACTTCTTTTTTTATACCATTTTTCAATGCAATATTTTTTATTTAATAAAAATTTCATTTTGAAAAAATAATGGATAAGTCTAGCTCTACGTTCATTCATAATGGATAAACAATATTTCCTATGCTCAAAAACTCACTTCCCAACACAAAACTAACCACAGAACCATAAAAGTTATAAGCCATGTTTGGTTTGTATTTCGAGATATTATTTCAAAAATAATTTTTTGGAGAGAGTTTAGAAAATTTAAAATTTTGTTTGGTTGTATATTTTGAAAATACTTTTCGAGTTTTAGAGTTTGTGATGATTTGATATTTTTTTTGTAATTAAATAGATGGGTGTGAGAGGAAAAATGATTGAAAAGCATAGAGGAGATAGAAAAAGTGATTGATTGGTGTGTAGTAGAGACAAAAGTAATTTTGAGTTTTTTTTTTTTTTTTTTTTTTTTTTTTTTTTTTTTTTTAATTTCAGCCAAACATATTTTTGGAATTTTTTTCTTCAAAAACATATTTTGAGAGATAAACCAAACATATCCATAATTTCACATTTCATCTATGTTTTATGACCATACATAAAAGTTACAGTCTCATTCAGGCTTCGTTTGGCTAAAGAGGTTGGAGCTAAATTAGCCACTAAAAGACAAAATGTTACATTCAAATCATAATCATTTCATTTTTTGTCTCACAAAAGTCAAAAAAACCAATCTAAATGAACTTTTTAGTCCCAAGCTAAAAAAAGTCTCAACTCAAAAAAGCTAACTAAAAATTTTTTGCCAATCGACAACTCAGATTATTTCATCTATAGGCAAAGAGGCTTTGTGGCTTTTTTTTGTTTGTCAACTATACATTTTAGTCAAAAAATCAAAAAGTCACTATAAGTTGTCATATCACTCTCTACTTTTCTACACATTTTTTCATAAAAAATCAAAAAGTTACTAAAATAGCCTATTCCCAAACGAGGCCTAAAATCTACAAAAAGACAAAATAGGCTAAAATAGTCAATAAGACAAAATGTCACATTAAACCCATAATCATTTTACTTTTTCTCTCACAAACATCACATCTAACTACAAAAAAATCCCACCATCTTCCCAAATACAAAAATTTTAGCCTACTAAAATAGCTAAAATAGTCAACTTCCCAAACGAGTCCACATGATTAGTTTTGTGGTCAATTATGTGGCTGTAAATTGGCTCTTTTGGAAATATTCAATTTTAGCCTAAAATCAAAAAGTCATTTTAAAAAGGGTGAAGTACCAATAAATCCCAAAATGTGATCTTACGAACTGTTTAGTCTTCCATTTTTTCTTATGAATCCAAAGGTCCCATTAAAGTGGAAATTATATAAAAGGGTAGTCACTTTCATATTTGAATTTAATATTTTAGGGATAAAAAAGAGTTTCTCAAAATGTAAAATTACACATTTAGGCAATTTGCACTATAGAAGTTTTGGATCTACCCTCTCTACTTTTCTATACATCTTTTCGTAAAAAATCAAAAAGTTACTAAAATAACCTATTCCCAAACGAGGCCTAAAATCTACAAAAAGACAAAATAGACTAAAATAGTCAATAAGACAAAATGTCACATTAAACCCATAATCATTTTTCTTTTTCTCGCACAAACATCACATCTAACTAAAAAAAAAATCCCACCATCTTCCCAAACACAAAAATTTTAGCCTACTAAAATAGCTAAAATAGTCAACTTCCCAAACGAGTCCACATGATTAGTTTTGTGGTCAATTATGTGGCTGTAAACTGGCTCTTTTGGAAATATTCAATTTTAGCCTAAAATCAAAAAGTCATTTTAAAAAGGGTGAAGTACCAATAAATCCCAAAATATGATCTTGTGAACTGTTTAGTCTTCCATTTTTTCTTATGAACCCAAAGGTCCCATTAAAGTGGAAATTATATAAAAGGGTAGTCACTTTCATGTTTGAATTTAATATTTTAGAGATAAAAGGGAGTTTCTCAAAATGTAAAATTACACATTTAGGCAATTTGCACCATAGAAGTTTTGGATCTACCTTCATTCTATAACAAATCTGACATTATGAACAAAAACCTAACACTCTAATGTAACACTCCAATAGCGTAACACTTTAATGTAACACACTAAAAAATTCATTTATGTACTTTTCCCAAACATAACAACGTAACACTCAAAAAAAACTCTTTGGTGTACTTTTCTCAAACGTAACGCTCCAATGTAACACACACACACAAAAAAAAAAAAAAAAAAATCCTTAGTGTACTTTTCCCAAACGTAACATTCCAATAAGTGTAATCCCAAATGTAACACTCCAATGTAACACACAAAAATACTAAAAAACCTCTTTGGTATACTTTTTCCAAACTTAACACTCACAGTTTGAAATTATACATTTGCCAAAACTTTCTAAGGAATATTTGTACTCCTTTTGGAATAGTTTGAAGAATCTCACATTCTTCCTTTCTTTTTTCTTTTTTTTTTCTTTTTTTTTTAGCATTAGATTGGAGTGTTACGTTTAGAAAAAGTACACTAAGAAGTTTTTTTGTTAGAGTGTTATATTGAAGTGTTACGTTTGGAAAACATACGCTAAGGAGTTTTTTGATGCGTTACATTAGAATGTTACACTGAGGAGTTTTTGTATGTTATATTAGAGTGTTACACCAAGGAGTTTTTTTAGAGTATTATATTAGAGTGTTACATTTAGGAAAAGTACACTAAGAATTTTTTTTTTGTACGTCACATTAGAGTGTTACACTTGTGAGAATATATTGTGTATAAAATTAGGGAATATTGTATTGTGTATAGAATTAGGAAAGATTGTGGTGTAACTATTGGGTTGTATTTCCTTTTTCAGTCATAGGTTTAGGGTTATATAAACTGGTGACCTCCTTGTAAAGATACACAATTGAAGATACAGTTTCATTCAAAAAACTTACACGGTATTAGAGCAAGATTCGAAACCCTAGCTGCTTCGCTTGTCGCCGTCGTGATTTGTTGGGCTTCAGTCTCATCGATCTTGAAGCTCTCTAAGTGGTGACTTTCTGGTTTGTCTGGGTTAGCACCATCAGCACTCTTTGGTTCGTCTGGTTCGTCTCACGAAGGTCTCTCTCTTTCTCGCGATCTCTGTCTGATTCTGAACTATCTACTTCGGCT